AATTACGTCTAATTACTTTTTAACCATTATGTAAATGTATTAAAAGTTTTGTTATTCACCTAAAGATTTCCACCTCCCTCCATCATAACTTTGTAATGGAGCAATGACATGAATGTTTTAACAATTAACACTATTTTTTTTTAATTTAACACTATATTATTTTTTTTATCAATTTAATCTATATATTTGAATATGTTTTCGAATTATTGTTACATTTTGTATCTTTATAAAACAAAATATATATATATATATATATATATATATATATATATATATATATATAAGCATTCATTTTATTTATTTATTTATATATAAATACAAAGCAACTGATTACATTAATACACACAACATAATGTATTTTAGCTGTATAATTTATTTTCTATAATGCAATAATATAACAAGGAAACATGAAGCCAATGTGTACTCTTAAATGCTGACTAAATTACTGGCATTATCAATTCGAATTTTCTGGCATAATTTGAATAAAATTTTAATAAATTATTCCTCACTACTATAATGCGTTTTTTTTTTTATATTTAAACTGTTATAAATAATGACACATGCCTCCATTAAGTTGTCATGTCTAGAGATTTTAGTAACTTAATTTACTATAAGCACAATTAGATGTAAATGATTTAAATACAATTTCAATTTCTTTTTTTTTTCTAACTATATAAAGCTTTAAAAATGTACTTCAATCTCTACTTATGTTCATAAAAAAATTTAAAATATTGTTTTGTTTATTTCTACCAAAAATTCTATAACAACAGTAATAAAATTACTGAAGTTTTATCTCGATGCATTTTTATGCTAATGATTTTAATCACAATAATGGCGGTAATCCAAGTTTCATATTAATGCTCTCTCAGTTCATTTATTGTGAACATTAATATATTTTAATATTATTTTATAATTGAATTGAATATTTCGCTTTTTGAAATTTCAGAAAGCCTCAATTATACTGGCAATTGTGAACATAAAAATTAATATTTTTTTATAATATAATTTGTCATTTATTTCCAATTTATCATTTTGATATTATTTAATTTCGTTTAATACTTTTTCTTTCTTTTAACATTTTTCATATAATGAAATCTTAGACAATTGCTATCACCCTTAATTGAGACAATGAGAAAATGAAATATTTCACAAGAAATATTTTTTACAAAATTATCTTTTTTTAATATAAATGAATCACAATAACCTACAAAAATTCGATTTTATCATTATTTATCATTATAATGGTTCAAGTTATAATTAATTAAGCTTCGTGTAGTTTATTTATAGTTTTTAAAATATTTTTCAGAATTAGTTTTTGCAGAATCTTATCAACATACTTTGTTACATTTCTAAATATATTAAAAAAATAAATATACATATTAATTATTAGACCTGTGTGATATAATGATAAAGTAATATTTTTATTAATTATAAAAAGTAAAACATCGAAATCATGACTGTGAACCCAAATAGCTGTCTGCATTCATATAATGTATAATTAATATTGTTTATGTAATTAATATGTACATGTAATCTAGACATAACATGAAATTCTAAATTTATGTTTGTAAAATTATTTTAAAAATTAAATCCGTATTAGATCTTAAATTAAAATTCCCGATTATATCATAATTCGAAAATTGTAATAGTTTATTATTAACTTTTAAAAAACTTGGTGATTTATAAAAGGTATAATAGTCATTGCTTGTGGTTTATTGGTATGACTTTTATACCAATAGTAAGTGAGTCTTCAACTTATATCCTCAACATGAAATTAATTAACTGATCGATAGACAATTTTATATTTTACAACAAGGTAATATGCTCGAATTAAAACAAATTGAATAATAAAATCATATACAACATAATATAATCATATGAGACTTCACGGCCCAAAGATGAAAAATTGTTAAATTATCTATTTTATTTTTTACTTCAATGAACATAAGGTTAATAAAATCAATACATTTTTTTAATAACTCATAATATACATTAATACTGTTGTATAAAAATGAGTCGATGATGTTTTGATATATTATTTAATTGTCAACTGATAAATCCTATAAATCTCTTTAATTTTAATTTTGCATAAGCAACATTTATCACCGCGATACAACTAAATATTTTCATAATATTCCTAAGGGATGAAAAGATAAAATGATATCAGGAATTAACTCAACAATATTGTTACAGATACCAATTCTTATATGAAATAATTCACAACTCTACAACCTTTTTATATAACTGATTATTAAAGATTAGACGTTAAAATTAATAGCGTTTTCCGAAAAATATCAGTATCGATACAGCTATATTTCTTCCGGTAACATTTAGATAACAAAAATATTTTAGGCGCTTGATCGGAAGCGTATCATAAAATTGTATTCAATTTTGTATAGCATAATGAATGAATTGGCATTATTGGAAAAGATTTTTTTAATATTTAACTGATTATTAGATATAATATAATTGCAAATAATCTGGAATAATTAAAGTATGAATAGAATTGCCTCAATATTACTTAAATTGATAATAAAGCTTATATATTGTACAGATAAAAACCAAAATATTTTTATAATAAATAGAGTATTTTGAAAATTAAATATTTGTTAAATATGCTGTTAAAGAAACGAATTACTAAAGATAATATTCGAGACGGATTAATTATTCCCTCATTATTATTTTTGTTGTTATTAACTACAAATTTTTTATCACATTTTAATTTCAAAACTTCATATTGTTTTCATACTTTTTATATCATTTATAACACGGAATGAAATTTCAATTCAAAAAAAGACTGTTTATGTTTGCTTCATCTATAGCGATTTCAATAAAAATGGTTAGATATATATAATTTGATTATTCAAAGATATTTAAAAAAAAAAACATTGTTGTATTAGCGAATTGAGCCGATATCCATTAAATGTTTGGACACAATTAAGCTAATCATAAATAAACATAAACTCCTAACTTAAAACTGAACCCTACAGGATTTAAACATAAACGTGGATTATTCAATTCCATTCTAATTGAATAAAATGGACAAACAATGACATGAATAGAGGAAATGTTTGTTTAATTCTGAGAACAGTTATAGCGTACAACTAAGCTATTGTTTATGTTAATTATCTTTCATTCTAGATCACTTCATTGTTAATAAGCGGTTTTATATTTGAATAAACAGACATTGATTGTTAGCAGCCGATTAATAACGGGATTGCAAATAATAAAGAGAAACGTACTGTTTTCACTTTTCTTTTTTTTTTTTAATGGACTATTTGCAGAACAGCGAAACGGTTATAACAAAGATTAATACAGAACAAAGTAAACATACAACATAATTCTTTTAATAGAGACTTTGGAGAAACAAGTGACTGGTTACCGAAGTACAATTTGAAGGAAGATGACGGCTTGATGTGTGTTATTACACCGTGAATTGGACCGGTAACTTCCAATGGAATGAATACCAAGCGGGTAATACGGAAGGGTTGCCTACCCATTTTCTTCAATAATGATAGACATCATTCAAACTGGAATTAATCATAAGCAAGAAACGATCAAAGATGACTTTCTACAAATCCAAGAAACCGTCAGATAATTGAAACAACTGCGTTACAAGCGAACGTTTCCATAAGAAAAAAAAAATTAACAAAAAATACGCGGAAATAACTATTAGTTTATAACAACATTTATACTTTTTTTTTTAAACTAACAAAATAATCAGAATTTATAAAACGGAAAATATAATTATTGTATGTACATTAAATATTTAATATCTATGAGCAGAATATCTTAGTTAATTTTAACAATTTATATTAATTATCAATAAATTAACATTTAATACGTCATCAAAACACAAATTCGGCTTATCCGAACTTTTTTAAAACAAATATTCGGTCATTTTTGATATTTACTTTTAGTACCGTCACAAAATAATTTAAAAAATATAATGTTCATATTATTTTCAATTGTTATTTATAAGACGGGTGAAATGTTAGGGTGATAATAATGTAATTGAAAAGAACAACACTGAAGTAGAATTTTAAATATTTAAAAAAAAATAAAATGAATGATACTGTGTCTACTATCAAGATTTCCAACAAAATAATTACTTTTAGGCTTTTAAGTCCGAATGTTTTAATTCATGTTTAAATATTTGTCGAGTATAAAATAAAAATAATTTTTAAGCATTCATTTATTCATTCGCTGAATAAATTTTTTTTTAAATTGTTTTATTTTTTATAAAAGAGAAACAACGATATTGAAAACCTATGCAATTTGAGACCTAATAATACTAATGTATTGCCTAAGTCCCAAGCCGGGATTTGTTGGACGAATAGGAATGTTTGAAATACAGATAAGAAGGGAACGGTTGATTGTGCGCCGGGAGAAATTTACTGGACAAGGCATCGGCCTACTGGTCTTAGCCAACGGGCTCCCGGCTTTGGCGGGGCTTTTGAAAAACCCAAAACCGTTTTTTAAAAAAATAAACTCGGTTTAAGAAAAATTTCACTCGTTTATTGTTTTTATTTGCACAGTAAGGTAGTTTTTGAAAATAATATTTCAAACGCGAACCCGCTGTTTTTTAAAATATACAAACAGTCACTTGTTGCAGTCTTGTTTTCTTAAATTGATTGATATTTAAATTATGTCAAAGATGAACGGTACATAAAATTGAGAATTGATAAATTTGATGTAACAAAATAAAATAAAAGGGTGTTGATAAAAGGCGAAACAGTTGACAAATGTTATCACCAGACCGTGACAGTGACTTTAGGTAGTAAACAAAAACGATTCCTTTATCCAAGACAGAATCACTACGATATCCACTGTGTTTACATAGCGGCAAGGAAGCGGACTTGCGAGTGCCACTGAGAAACACCTTGTAAATATGTAAAATTTACATACCTCATATAAGCTGTGAAAGAAGGGTTATTGGATGTACACTGGGGAATCGGGAACACTGTCACAAAACACTGTCACACATGTAAGAAATCGGCTTACCTCCCGGACTTTGTGATGACCATCTCAGTACCCAGCTTGTGAAACTTCTCCCAGAGCTCCTTACCCTCCAGTGTGACCTTGGGGTCGTCGACGATGCCGTCGTCCTCTGGCTGAAGAGGCCTCAGCATGGCCGGGTGTTGGAGGACGTCCTCTGCTGTCGTGTAGGGGTGCTTGGGCAGTGGATAACAGGGGATCGGAAGTGGATAGCTTGGCCCTGGCTGCGGAGTGAGTAGGCTACTCACACTGAAGTCTGTCGGCCGGTGAAGAAGGTACGCTTGGTAGGACATGGCCTGCGTGGCTTGCGGTTCCTGGCTCTCGTACCTCATCTGGGACACTCGAGCTCCGCTTCGAGCCGGCCCCACCGCGGGAGTGAGGCCGTCACCTCCCCCCCTCCACCAGCTGCCTCGAGCCGATTGGCTGACGTTCCGGCCAATCCCCGGCCGCCACAGACCCACACCCGTCCCCCTCTTCCCCTAACACCCTTATCTCATTAAATATCCACTATTATGTACTCCCTCTCCGATCCCTTGATTCTCCAAACATCACCCCTGCTTTACTATTTATATTTTTAACTCTTAACCTTTCACAGTCGGCTTCCACCCCTCGGTGCAGCGCCTCTTCTCTCTCTTCACTCTCCTTCGTAGCCATAAATATTGATACTTGGATCGATGCTAGTGTCCGTTTCTTTTTAACATTTTTTTCTCTTTTTTTCCCGCCTTTTGCTTGCCTCGCTCTTTTCCGCTCTCACTTTAGTTTATTGATGTTCTCCTTGCTCCTGTCTTTCGGGATTTGTATCATTTTGCTGCGCATAATTATTGTTATGTGAGGTTTAGAAGTTTAAAAAAGGATGGGTCATTATTGAAAGCTACTCCTTATGCTGTTAATTCCCTTAACACTTTAGACTTATGGAAATAGGATATTAGCAAAATCCCATGTTCAAAGTGCCCACAGGCGGATCTACAGGGGGGCTTTCGGGCTGAAGTTCCTCCCAAAATGGTAAAATATAACCATGTTTTATAGAAAAAAAAATATGATAAACTATCTCTTAAAGTATTCTTGTTCGTGTAATTACATTTAATAGGACTTCAAGAACCACTTTAACACTATTTCATATAGGTAGTTAATTTCTTTCTTTTTTTCAAATTAATTATCGTTATATGTATATGAAAAAATAATCTTTCTGGCTGAAGTCTCTCCTCCCAAAATTAAATCCTGGATCCGCTAGTGCAAGCGCCTCAAGAACAAGCTAATGCAGAAATAATAATTTTGGATGGACTCTTTTTTATTCGCATTCGCCTCTATACTTGAGGGTCATAGGGAGAACGTTTTTCCCGTAATACTTTATCCTTTTTGCCCTATTTTATTAAATGGTATAAACTGATGAGTATGCTGGGTGATTTAGCAACTCGTCACAGTTGAGCAGCCGTATAATTTTATTGTGCTTCTCTCTATTGTAGTACTCGGTTTCCATAAAGTATTGGAACAGAATGGCGACTTTCCCTTCACTATCCTGTAATATTCCTTTCAATGTCATTGGTAATTTTAATTTTTGTCTGATTTTTTTCTGGAAATGATGGCACTCCACTAATAATTCTTTGGTTAACTATTGTCTATTGGTACACTTTTGGCACTCGGGTGCTCCAGCGACCAATCCGTATTCGGCACAATGTGATTTCTTACTTTTGTTTTTATTCGCGTTTCCAACCTTCTACTGTAACATTTATTGCGGCCATGTTTGAAACCCAAGATAACACTATATTTATGTTAGCATCGAGTGGACTTATATGTGTATATAAATCCGATGTTGGTTTATTTTTCTATGATATAGGAAGTTCACATGAAAATGAGTTGATATCGATAAGTGTGCGTCAGTGCCTTTATGCTTATAATAAGTCAAACATTGACAACAAATATTGAAAAATGAGCTTTTTTAGAAAATTTCGAAGTTAGCTATGAATGAAATTTGTGATGGGGAAATAATATATGAAGCCGAAACAACGAGTGTTGTACACGAAGTGTTTTTTTGGGACAGGTGATAATCAACTTTTACAGAATGTTACACAGTTTCTTCAGATTGCAAAGGAACAAATTAAATCTCCATTATTAAAATAAATAATATTTATAAGTTTTTAAAAATAATAATCTATGTTAAATGAAACCTATGTTATTATGGAATATGTAAATTTTATATTAGAAAAATATTGTGAATAAAAATGTGTTTAATTATTATTATACTATTATTTATATTTTCTTCCCTCATTATGATATTTATTTATTTTGTTCTTATTTCGCTGTATATTATTTTGAAATTACCTTATTTATTTATTGATTTTGTAAATATGGTGTGAATGTGCTCTCTGAACTCTATTATAAATGTCCTTTATTGAGAGAGATTGTAATATTTATCAATAAACAAGTAATCCAGTAATTATTATTAAGATTTCTACTATTGTTATTTGCAGGAAAAGAGATTATTCGCAAAGCCATCAATCAGATTAAAAGTGCTGAATTAGTTTGGTTTTGAAGCGACACCTCTTGTTTATTTCTCATAGAAGCTTGTTATGAGGTAACCTTTTTTTTAAATATAATCCACATGCAATAAACATGGATGATAATAAAATAAAATTATTAAACATATAATAACCTGGAAACGCAATTCAGTAAAATGAGAGACAACATTCCAAAAATGTGTACCAATAGCGACATTTTTCAAGTAAAATGTTCTTGCAAAAAAATTGTAAAGGAAAATCATTGCAGAAGTTTGAAAATACAATAAAACTCGATAAAATATGATCGAAATTAGCTTGAAGCACCAATGAAATAGAAAATAATTACACTCATGAAATCAGTTCTTGACTTGGTAAAAATATTGGTTAAAGAAAAAATACTATAAAAATGAAACTTGTAGAAAGTTTATTTAAAAAAAAAAAATATATATATATATCTAAAAACATTAAACATAAAGGAAGATCTGAAGTTTATTCCTGATACATGGAATCAAATTATATTTATATAAAACAAAACAAATTTAGTATTTATCTTCTCTGATCCAAAGTGTACTTAAGTCTTTTTGGTTAAGTGCTTGATTATTGACCGAGTTTATTCTCTAAGCTCTATCCAATTTTGGGGCAAATTACTTAAGTAAGTTTCATATTTTATCTTAATGAAAATAAAAAAATATTGATAAAATTTAATTTAAAATGTTTTTAATTTTAAAATTGTAAATGGCTGATTCAGAATAGAACGTATAACGTATTATTTATACAATCCAGATGCTGAAGAAGCATATACAGTATCCCTGAAACATACAGATAAAAATAATGAAGAATAAAGTTATAAATTAAGAGTGCTTATTTATCAAATCGGACCTATAAGCAAGAAGGGCGGAGAGATTAATAAAATTAAATTAAAACAGAGATATGAATTACACAATTAAAAAACCCATTTACAATGATTTGTTCTGACTAGTATCAATGGTTGGCTACACAGTGGATCAAAACGATAATCTTATACCCATAGGTGCAAAACTTAAGAGGAAGATGGCGAGGGGGGCGTTCGCCCCACCATAATTAATCTGAGGGGGCAACAATATAAGTTCTCCTCCCCCCCAATAATTCTATATACATAATAAAATTAATAACGAATAATCTAAGGCCCAGAAGTACATAAGTATATTATCCCAATCTAACAGTTTCTATTATTTAAATCTTTATTTCTATTCAAAGATAATAATATATAGAAACATTGACAATAATCAATGATTTATTGTTTATATACGATATTAAAAGTGTCTAGTGCATTTTATAGACAAATGCAATTTATTAATTTTATTTAACTAAATTGTTTTCCTTATTCCATAAGTTATAAGTTACTTCGCTAAAATTTACTAAATATATCTTAAACATGCATAATCGAATGATATAATCTTTTAAAATACTTATTGTTATTTTTAAATATAGGTATATAAAATATTCAATGTTCTGTTAGTATGTTTTGACATATGCCGATTCTAGGTAAAAAAAAAATAAAGAAAGCCTGCAAGTATTTTAAATATCTATTGAATATTCAATGATTGGTGGCGGTCATAAAAAAAACTTATAACAATGAAATATTATTTTATTAAATCAATGTTTTTAATTATTTACATTGACTTATTATATAACATGTATTGTTATATTGTTAGTTTCAGTACACTTATGTTAATTTTCACTTTTATTTTTATACTTGATATATAATAAACTCATGGCTATTGTTTTGTGATCCATCGTCAATCCCCATTCAAACAGGAAAGTCTGCGTATATGGGTATACCATCATATCTATGAACCATGAGAAAAAACAGATATGCTTGTGAAAACAACATTATGAAATATATTTCAAAAAATTAACAGTAAAGAATAAATATGAAATAAAATATTGGCGTCGCCAATATTTTGAAGCCTTGTTCAACAATTATTAAAATAACATGAAACCATGACGGTTTCATTCATCACCGTCGCATTTATAAATGTCTTTAGTCATACGGATACCAATAGTAGTACTTGAGCTTAATTTTTAGGGTCTTTTTTACTAAATTATCGCCAATCACATTTAGATACAGTTACTTATAGTAAAATAACAGTTAATATTTAGAAATCATATGTCATAAAAGAATAAGCATTTTATTGCAAATTAATATAAAATATTAGATAAACACAAAATAGGTTAATTTTGAGAACAAAAAATATTCTAAATATTTAACTTAGGTTATACCTCCACATAGCTTTACTAATTTTGAAAATGTAAAATTTCAGTTAATGTCCTAAGGTACTTTTCCTTTTTCTGTGACATCTTCCATTCTTCATCATCATTTTGATGATCTTTTATTTGTGATCAAAGAATGTTATTTAATTTTAAAAAGTAAATTTTTTTTTATTTCACAATCTGGATAAAACAATATGTTTCTGATTCAGGTTATAACCTAATTAGTGCAATCGTAATAACTTATTACATCAAGTACGGTAGCAACAGTTCTAAATAAGAGACAAAAAAGTAACTAGTGATACCTAAGTAAAAAAATACGCCATTTGAACACTTTTAATTTCATTTTTTTGATCTTTTGAGTTATATTTATATTACTAACAGGTTAGTACTATATAAAATATTTTGTTTTTTCAATACCATTTTATAATTACAACATTAACAATTGATGCGGTTATGTACCCTTGCACGATATATTATTTTTAAACAATACATCACAAATAAACTGAATTAAATTTATTGGTTAAATAAACATAGACAAAAAAAACAACAAATATCTTTATAATTAAAATAAAGTATATACTATTTTAGAACAGAATTAAGTTCGCTCTGTTAGGCTTCATTTGAGTATTTTTTTTTTGTATAATTTCCTATTTCTGAAATTGATGGATTAGACGAATATGACATATTTAATTCTGAATGTATCTTAGTAATTTTGTTACAATGGTGGATAATGTTTGAAGATTCTTAGACATTTGTTTTGAAGTAATTGTAATGATTTCGTGTTGGTTGAATTAGTGAATATTTTCATGTGGGCAAGCGAATGTTAAAATTAAAATCTTAGAACAAATTTATAAAGAATTCATTCATATTTGGATAATAGCTTTGATTTTTTTATTGAAATATGGA